ATTCAAGTCAAAATTAGACTTGGCCACCTCTAAAGTAGTTCATCTTGAACAGGAAACAGAATTGATAGGGAAGAAAAACAATTTTGGAAGTTCGATAAGATCATGGAATTACAATATCAGAAATCCTTAAAAATATTTTTGATTAAAAACACTGACAAGATTTCCTCTGATGACACATATCAACAGGGCAAACTCCTCTGACAAGCATTAACTGAAAAATTAGCCTTACTTTCCTTTTTACATGGAAGAAAACTAAAGCAATAGGATTCAGTGAATAACCTTAAAAGCAGAAATCTTGGTGTGGGTGAACAATGAAGAGGGTCTATTGAGTTTTCTGCAGTTTATTGGGTTTGCTAGGGAAAAAAAGTATACATCCTTTTCAAGCATAATTTTCTTCTACAATTTGATTCACACTCTTGCATTTTCTGTTAACCTAGCCCTGTCTTTTTAAACTGCTACTTAAAACTTTCAAAGAAATTAGAAATGTAAAGTATCTTTAGGAACATTCTGCTATGAGAAACCATTGTCCGGACATAGAGAAAACCATTTAGGAACCCATAAAGATGTTGTGTGGTCTACGTCATTTAATTAAAGCCTAATCAACTTCTCCCAAAGTAAACAAGAAGTTGGACTCAAATCAATCACATGGATAACGTATTACAGTTCCCTTGAACAAAACACATTTAAAAAACAGTCATGACCAAACAGACACTTTTCAGAATTCTTTCAACTTGTCTTTCTGCCAAGTCAGCTCCATGGGTGTGAGCAAGTTAAAAAAACAGCTTCTGTTTAAATGCTTGGGTACACCAGCCTTTAATAAATAGTAATTTTTCTTGAAAAATATTTTCTGTCTAAATACTAAGGCTGCTTGGCCATGTTCTTAGGACTTTTCCTACATACATAAGTGTTACATGTACAAGTCATCATTGAATTGTCTGAATGTAAATGCAAGCACTTTTCCCTCTCCTCTCCCACCCCCCCCAAAAAAGTTCTAGTAGTAAAGCATTAGAGAAATCACTACATCACAAAGGATCTGACAGGCAGCAGTGCATATCTATCAGTTTTACTTAGTATACATAAGATTTTTAAAAGGAAGCTAATTAAAGTAAGAAGATACTTGTGTTTTGTTGTGTGTATGGTTTGGTAAATGTATGATTTGTCAGTCAAATGATATTATAGCTTAAGAAAGAGCAAGCATCCATGACTAGTTTTGAATTATATAAAACTTAATAAAATCTAGGGTAAACAGGGCAGTAGGCCTGAGGGTAAACAGGGGTTAAAAAGGCAGGTTAGGGGTCATAAAATTATCAGAACCTTAGAGGTTACAGAGAAATGCCCTTAATTCGTTTTACACTTCCCTAAATATTTTTCAATATTTTTGTGAAATCTTATTGAAATGAGGTAGAATTATTGTGAGTTATGCAATCAGAAGGAAAACATGGTCCTTGTTTAGGACATCATCTTCACTGTTTTGAGAGCTGTTGCTGTCCCTACTTTGTAGCAAGGTCATTTCTGTCACTACCATCCAGATGTCTGTCCTCGGGGTCTGTGTAAACATGGTCTTCCCTGTGAGTAGGGCCCCACCCCGGTGCCTTCACCTCCCTCTTTATTCTCTCTTTTTCTCCCACTGCTTTTCCATGCATTTTTCTCAATTCAAATCTCTCATTCTATCAGTTAATGGAATTCCATTGGTTTAACTCAGAAAGGTAACAAAGTGTGTAGCCCCCCTCCAAACTACTGCTATTTGATTTATCTTGTTTTAATTATGTTTGAATTGTTTTAGGTATTTGTAACATTTGTCTTAAGCTGTATTTTGATATGTAGAAGGCACACAAAGTCAAACTGTAAGTGACCTTGCCATGTATTCCCCTGAATATCTACTGAGTGGGAGTAGGGTGAGGGTGAAGAGTGATTTTAAGATCTTCAAAACCTGCCTGGATGCGACCCTCTGCATCTAAGGGTCGCATCTGCGACCCTCTAAGTGCCTCTAAGTGCCCCTGCTCGAGCAAGGAAGTTGGACTAGATGATCTCTAAAGGTCCATCCCAACCTCGACCATTCTGTGAAATCTGGGCAACACTACACTTGTAGCTTCTGATAAAAGTGCTGCTTGTTTTCATTTACCGCCCACTATCACATTAGCATTAAAATGCTTTGAAGCCACTACAGTATTTAGCCTTTCATTATTTACAGAAGACACTACTTACTTAAAAAGGGGGGTTTTATTTTCAGTCCTCAAATGGCTCTAAATTGTTCTTGTTCAATTCATTCCAGGTATGGTATTATACTTCCTTCTTTAGCTTTTCAAGTGTGAATGTTTCATGAATAAATGGAAGCGATGAATAATAAAAGGGTGCACTATACAAAAATACATTTAACATAAGTTGTTCAGTTCCTTAAAGTTTCAATTTGTAAACTCCATTCAATACATATTTCTGTTTTTTGAAGTGCTTTCAAAACTTCACGTATTTTCCATTAGCTATTTTATCTATAATCTGAATTAAAGAAATACTTCGCATTGACTACAGTCAGCAAACATCTTTGTCAACATTTGTTCTTCAGGAGCTAAGTGCTTTTGAAAAATATCAGTATGATTTTCCTTTAAGAAAGAAAATTTGCTTTCCTTTCTCAAATTATAAGGATTTTTGCATAAGAGCAGCTGAAGTACTGTGCCCTTCAGGTTTTGTATGCTACTAATCAACACTCAGATGACACTACACAGCACATTGTTACCTGATAAAGGCAGTAACTGAGTATCACTGAATGCTTATATTCCAAGTAGACTATATTCGGGCAGTAAAATGTGAGTAGTTCCTATAGCAGTTTCTATAAATTAAAAATCACAACATACTTATCAAAGATGGTGCTAAGATAATTTGTACTGTTGTAAAATTGTTTTATAATATTATTCAATATTTGGCAATAGCAAAGTTGGCTATTGGTCACATGACAAAAAAACATTACTCATTACCTCCACACTTAAAAGCAATGAACCAGAGTTACTAACTGTAGATATTTAAAAAATACCTATATAAAATTTTAAGTCACTCAGAGTTGTTAATCATGTGATTTGAAAGTTAAAAGGTCCTTTACAAGCTTAACTATGCTTTGTGTATTAATACAAAGCCTTGCTTCCTAACAGTGCAGGAAATCAAGGGACACAGAGTACTATGCAATATCATTGCCTGAAATAGATGCTATTTTAAATTTAAAGTCTTCATATTTGCTGCTTTTTTCTTAACTTTATGATAGCTTCAAAATGCCTACATATTTAAGATACCATTTGAAATCCATTAAATACTTTTGTTTACATTTAAGTAAACACAGCTGTGTATCACTGTGTATCATTCTAATAGATGGATTTTAACTTATACGAAAGATCTAAAACACAGTTCTAGAACTGACTGGATTTCTCCAAAGCATAATTATTCCCTGAGCTATTACAGTGGTTCACATTGTAGTAGTTACACTTATTACCATATAGATGAGTTGAAACGTTCTTGATTACCTATATGCAAATAAAAGGTATATACTGACTTAAAGGCCATCTTCAAGAAATAAACCGAAAAAAGCAACACTGTGATTCTCAAGTCCCTGGACAAAGGTGTTGTTCTTCCCAGAAGCTGAGATTTTTGCTTTTCACCTTTACTCTGACATCAAATATACAATTTTTCTAAAACAACTTGCCAATTGCTTATATGTAAGCTTCAGTGACCAGTGGATGCAACAGAAATGAGACTAGAGAATACTAACCTAGGGGATGATCCTGTCAGGATCAACTTCTGATCTCAATCCAAAGAGATTATCCTGTGATTTCCATTTTTAAGTTTTCAGGAATTAATTCTAATAATAATGCTGATTTTTTGATCAATCTGCTTAAAAAAAAAATCACTAGACCCCTTGCTTTGAAGCAATACTGCTACTAAATACAGCTACTAAAATTTGAAGTGATCTATGATTCTTGAGAAACCAAAAACAAGTGTTATTTGCATCTAGGCACTGATAATACTTCCTCATAGAATATCTGTCATGTAAATACCTATTGTCTCACAAGCAGTCGCAAGCACAGAAATGCCCATTGTGTAAATAAAACATCAGCATGGAAATCTGTCTCTTATCTTCGTGAGTGTGGAGAGGAGTGTAACTCAAACACAGCACAGCCATGAAAACACAAACACACACAAAAAAAGACAAATTGGCAGTGCAGAAAAATCAGCATATCCACCACAGGCTGAACGTTCCCCAGCCAATGCCAATATTTTAAGCTGGCTGCAAACAGCCTGGAAATTGGACAACCCTTCATGGTGCCCTCAGGTATTTTGCTCAGCAATTTCATGTCCATGCACAGCATCTGACTGCCTTTACTTATCAAAAGCTGAACTACAGGTTGGATGTCTCCAGGTCACACATAATTGAGTTTTGGTATAAATTAATTGTAACTGTAAATACATACTAAGCAAACATGTATTATTATCAGAATTTAACTGGCCATTTATATCTGGAAATAGCTGTTTGTCGAATAACTGAGATAGTTCCTGTATATTTAGAAATGCTTTTAAACATGTTGCTCATGCACTCTCCTATTTGTATACAGAAGCTTGTAATACAAAAGCTGCAAGTCAAGTGGGTTGAAGATTTCATCTATCAAAAACAAGATACTAATAAAATAACTATATTCATGTTAAAACTATGCTTAGTAGTAAGCAAACAGTTCAGGTTTTTGGTATATTATTTACAACTGGGTTATTCCATATCTAGGAAAGTTGCTTTCTTCCTTAGTGTTCTCATCTATATATCAAGAACAATCAGTAAAGATCTGTTGAGATCCTAACAGTAAGCCAAAGTACTCCATCACCTTTGTAGAATCAGGCTTTCACATCTGTTTCTCAATTCCTCATTCATAAAATGAGGCTTAAATATTGTCCTGACTTGCAAAGACAAGACTAAGCTCCCTACCACAACCATTTTAAGGAAGGTAAACCTCTGGCCTTGGACTACATACCTTTCATTTCCCCTTTACTGAGGGACCAATTTCAGAGTAATTGGTTTAAGTACTGCTGAGTCTTGTAAACACACCTGAAAAAAATGGGAGCACTAAACACACACAGCATTTCTGTGAATAAGGCAATATGACTGGAAAACACAGCGAGGGAGCTTCTCATCAGAGCCGCCACTGATTTACAGGTGGCCTTCACATGACAGGTGGTCTTTTCATCAGCTTTTTCCACCTGTAAAATGAGGTAGTAATGCATTCTTATCTACCAAGAGAACAGTAAAGTATACGCTAATAGTTTGGAGGCACATAGGTAAATACATAGAAGACATAAATGAGGAAGTGAAAATTTCAGTGCAAAGTAAATAATACTGAATCATGTGCTGAACAGCAAAAGGCTGAAAGATTAATTACTAATGAAGAACACAGTGTGCAATAGTTAATTAAGATTCTATGCCAGAGTGGATATACACATAGGACAGAATTAGGATTATTCATAAAACATTTATCCTGTCATTTCCCAACTTCTTGGTACTAGACTTTGTACTCTTTAGAAAAAATAGCATAGTGTAACACAATAATAGGTACAGTGAATAAGGTTTTAGATAGAGGCTTATTTTCACAGAAATGTTACGTAAAATTGTCTGAGCTACTAAAAACAGCTTCCTAAATAAAACCATTTCTGTAGTTTGTCACAAAAATATTCAAAAGGGTAAAATTAGTCAGTTAAAACAAGAAAAAAAAAACAATCTTTGAGGAGGTTAACCACATCAAGAGGGTGTACACCAGATAAGGAAGCACAAGAGTGTTTCTCTTTTTTGTGGCACTCCCTTATGAAGAGACAGCTGGCAACACATTGGACAGGTTTCTCCTCTCTCTAACACAGCACTTTAGCAAAAAGAAGTGCTTTTAAGCCAGAGTATATGACATGGCATCACAGCAGCCATACTATACACCACCAACTTGACTCTCTGCCCACGCATCCTCTGCTTCAACACTTTCCCAGCACTTAACAAAAACCACCGTTTGCTCTGCCAGGACGCTTCAGCCTCCATGGCGCAAACCTCCTTCATGGGAAACCGTACCAACACCTTCACTGCAAGACCGCGCCTTCGCACGCCGTTTCTTTCACATAACCCCACGCCCCTCCATCTTTGCCACGACTCGTCCCGCTCCGTTGACCCCCTGGCCGCAAGATGGCGGCGTGCGCGAGCGCGAGGTACCTCAGATCCCCCCCACTCCCAACGGTCCGGCGCGAGCGCGGGGCGTCACCTCAACTGCCCCCCCCCCGCCCAACGGCCGCTCTCAACGGTCCGACGCGACCGCGGGGCAACATCTCAACTGCTTCCCCCCTCCATAGCCGCTCTCAACGGTACGGGGCGAGCCCGCCCTCCCACCGCCCACCCCAGGCGCCCTCTTAGCCCACCTGTGGGACGCATCGTACTTCTGCCGCTTTTTCTCCCTCCCCTGGGGCAGAGGGCGCTACCCTGGCCCTCGCCGCTGCCGGTCCGGAAACACGGGGCCGCCCCGGGCTCCTCTTGACTGCGAAGCTCCTCACTGCCCGCCCCAGGCTCCTGCGATGACGAAGAGTGAGGGGAACCGGGAGCTGCCGGCGCTGAAGTCGTTCCTCTACCCGCCCCCGCCCCGTTGCTAGACCGTTAGGCGCGGGAAGAGGCCTCGTCTATCAAAAAGTTGGTTACTTTGAAAGACAGAGTGACCAGGGAGATGGGTGTTTTCCACAGATCAGATGGACCTGCGAAGCCCACTGCAGGTGGCTCCTTCCTACCAGGGAGCCACTGTTTAAGTACATGGAAAGCGGACTGCAAGCGAAGGGCTCTGGGGAGAGGTCCGTCTTCGCATGTGTGCTGTGATCTTTATCCCAGCAGCACAGTTTCTAACGGCCAGCATTGGGCCGTGATTTAACTGTCCTTCGGTATTATGCCACCTGTTAATTTTTTGACAGAGCTGAGAGGAAAATTGGAAAAAGTGTGAGAAAAAGCAGCATGTAAGAGAGAGAGATTAAATGATTTAGCCCACTGCTATGCAAGCCCTCAAATTTAGTCAGGAGACATTGACTGAGGGAGCATTAACCACAAACACTGGATCCAGAAGGAAGAGAAGCAGTTGCTGCAGAGATTTCAGGGAAGAAGAAAGTGTTACATTGTTTTGGAAGCAAATCTTGTCTGATTGGACTTGGCTTTTGGGTACATCTTTCTCGCTCATTTGAATTTCTGCCTACATTCCTCTTCCCCACCAGAGCTTTGATGCCTGGTGGCTGATTTTAATGACATTTGTCAAAGGTTTTATTGGTTTCCAAGATGAAGTTCTGCAGTATTGATTTCAGGAGCGTGGGTGGCCAACGTAGAGGAGCAGACACAAATGCTCAGCTCTGCCTGAATTGAAGGAAAGGTTGCAGAGTAAATTCAGACATTATTAGAGCAAAATCCATACAAGGTCAGTCTTTATAGATGCTACAGTCACAACAAAACCTCTAAAGTTTGCTTTCAGCTACAAATGCAAATAGGCAGAGAGCTGGGCTTCAGTCTTAGAGCTGCTTTTCTAGTGTCCTTGGAGGCTGTGAGGAGCCTGAGCCATCACCATCGGTTCCTGTCTTCATGCAAGTAGGTATTTAGTTTTTATTTGGTCTTTTTTTTTCCCTTATATTCCTCCATGGTCTTTTTTGCTAATGAGTAGGTGCTTTTGGTGAACTTTTGGCTTGGCCTGGTCTACTGTACAGTGGAAATGTCTGGCTGCTTATTCATGGGGAAGATCTAGGCTTCAATCAGATTTCAATCATGTTAGTCTGGATGTGCATCCAGAAGAGCCTGAAATAACTCTCTTTGTTCCTTTCTACTGGTTTTTCACTTCCATTTACTGAAGTAAGAGGTGTCTAGGCATTACTGCATTCCTGTACTCTGCAGTGTTGGTAGGCTTAAATCACAAGCAGGGCGAACAGGAAGGAGATACCTTATAGTGGGGGAGGAGATGTGTCAAAGATTAAACAATTGGAAATAGTTTATCTGACCAGATTGCCAAGGTGGTAATGATTGCTGCTCCATAGAAGGCAGAACAGGTAGTGGAGTCATTTCAACAGTCCGAACTATGACTATTATCTTCACTACAGAAAGCAGATTTTAAATGACGAGGCATATTTAAATACAAAAGTAAGTGAATTCAAAATTATTTAAAAAGTCTAGTAAAAAAAAAAATCAAAATCTGGAATTGTCTCCTGTGTCCTAGAATGAGGGAAAAACTTTAGTTGTGATAGGCCAACTATTTGCATTTTGACAGAAGAGATAATAACCATACATCGTGGAAATTAGTTCTAATAGAATTAGTCCTAAATAAAGGAAGTGTTAGACAGATAAGCAAGTAATGTGTAAAGCAAAGCTTATTAAAAAGGGTATAAGCACATAAAATTAATGTGGGCAAATACAGGGCAAAAAACTAGTTGAAGAAAGAAAGGACCTTGGCAAAGTTCAGAAGCAGGAAGGGCTGCTCCCAATGGAGGTCTTGCTGAGGCCCTCATCAGTGCACACTGTGTACATGGAGACTTGCAATGGTACTGCCAAAATGTGTGTTCTTACCAGGAGGGGACAAAGGAAAGACAGTGCTAGGCACAAGATGATCCAGAGAGGGCTGGAAGAAGAACATATGAGAGCGGTTCCTGAGAAAGTGGAGATGGTGATGGACTGTGTGGTCAAAATGGGGGCATTTGGGAGGATCAATCTTCACAGGGATTGTGGCAGTTTTAAGAGACGCTCTTAGCTGTGGTGCAGACCGTTTGTCAGTAGTATATGTGCTTTAACCTGGCAAGTTAGGCTGGATGCATAGGGCCTGTGCTTGTGTGTAATGAACCTGATTGAGCTGAACTAGTGTTTAAGTCTGAATACTGAGGTTTTTTTAGGCTCTTTTGCTGCCGTCACTGTTTCTGAGACCACGCTATTGACCTGTCTATGACACTGATGACAACAACAGGGGTAAGGGTGAAAGCATAGTGCTGATCTGTCACAGCTCCAGGCAGTGTTGCAGTAATCTGTGGTATGCAGCTGCATTTCTAAGAACAAAGAAGGAAAATTTCCCAACTGCTGGGTCATCGTCATCAGTTTATGCTTCTCCTATGCCAGCCCAGTCACAGAGTTTTGTCACTGGTGAGATGTAACTTGGACATATGATGACATATTCCTGTCAGGGCCATTCTCCAGCAAGGAAAATAGCCAAGTTTGTTTGCTGTGAAACCTTGGTGTTGTGTTCTTCTCTACAGGTCCAGCAGAAAAAAAAAAAAGTTTTCATCAATTCTTTAACTTTGTAATGACTGTATTTTGTAAGTATAATAAACTTGTGGCATTCATAATCACTGCTGGCAATTTAGGACCATTTACAGTTTCTAGGGAAGAAAGACCTACTTGAATTATTAAGTAATCTCATTGCTTGTCATGAAGCCCAGCTATATTAGAGGAAAATCTAAAAATCCACGTTGAAACATAATGAACATAGTTTTGCAATGATGTCGGTTTGGTGTTCAAGTTGCCTGGGTGTCCTCGATGTAAATTACTAGTCTTACTTAAAATTAATTGAATTTACTCCAAGTATAAGCTTGTTTCTGACCTCCTAGGCTTTTAATACTTATTTTAGGATAATTATATACTTCTGTAATATCTTTTCTCTTAACCATTCACTGACCTTCCTGCTAAGGTGTAAACAACTTTTGGTCTATTGTAGAACTTGAAGTATTTAAAATTTTTCTCTCAGTTTTTTATTAATATTTCATGTTACCCACAGGTTTCTTTGTATTGTCCACTGTAATGTGGCTAGGTTATATTATAGTGCATGTGGTATTTCCCTAATGGCTAATATAAGCAGTTGGGAGTATTGCATTTCAGGTAATGCAGTTCATTTTTGTGTCTTAGGGGACTGTGTCTGTGTCAGTTTTTAGGTTCATACTGCAATCATGTTAGTTTATCTACCTGTGAACACACACAGATAAACACACATTTTGGTACCAGATACTACTGT